AGAGAGAGGGCTACCCCCTCTGATTAAGGACCTCAAAACCACACCTTTACCGCTGAAAATCCACTGGATTTCAGTGGTAGGAAGGCCAAACCAAGGTTAGCTCGGAGGCTCCAAGATATGGCTTAAAACAAAGCCAAACAAAGCAAGGAAGGGGATTACACACCCCTAACAGCAAAGTGACCTTAACCAAACTTAAAAAGCACTTAAAAACAAGACTTTTTCCAGTTATAAGCAAAGCCTAAATCAATATGAAAAGAGGGCTAAAGCAAGGTGCAAAAAAGTACAAAAATGGGGGAAATGCTCACCCTTGAAGACCCTCTTCGAAACCAGCAATTTCAGGGGGTGGAAGCTTGCTTTCAGACCTCAAGAAGACCTCCCAAGAAGCTTGGTTCAATGGTGGTTGTGTATATCTATGTGTTGTAGTGTAAAAGTGTAAGGAAATCCAATCTCTAAGCACAAAACTCAAGCAATATAGAGAGAAAGAGAGGTTTTGCCCTTCCAAAACTCAGAACCTCTGGCAAAGAGGGAGGTCTCTTGCTTATATAGAGGAATGAAAAGCCAAAGCTTCTTCAAGAAGCTTTACAAGGGCTTCATCCCTCCATACACGTGTATGGAGGGGAGCAAACAAAAAACCAGCTGGCTCAAAAGATCTTGAGGAAAACCAGCTGAGACAGGGGGGGTGCCAGCCATCATCAATGGCCGGCAGTGGCTCACTGATCGCCTGCAGGGCATCACCAATGGCCGGCAGGAGAAAATCAATGGCCGGTAGTTCCATGCCATGGCCGGCAGTGCACCAAGAAGGTCACTAAGAGAGGACCTAGCCAAGGTCCAAGAAAAGGACAGAAAGTATACAAGGTCCGGAAAGCTCGAACCGGTGACGTTCCGCTGCGACAGTCGAGTACTCGGCGAGCAGTCGAACTAGTTGTTGGGTGTACCTGCAAGCACAACCAAGTCCCGAGGACGGTCAAAAATGGGGTGTCTATACCCGGCCCATTGACAATATGAATATTCACATTGACATGTTAATATTCACATTGATAAGAGTGTAAAATTAACCCACAGCCCGTGGGCGGCCCGAAACCCGACCGCAGCCCGAGGCAGGCTTGGCCCGACTCGTGACAATGTGAATATTCACATTGACATGTTAACATTAACATTGATAGGAGTGTAAAATTTGCCCGCTGCCCGAAGCTCGCCCGCGGCCCGTGGTAGGCCCGGCCCGGCCCGTTGACAATGTGAATATTCATATTGACATGTTAACATGCACATTGATAGGAATGTAGAATTGGCCCGTCGCCCGTGGGCTGCTTGAAGCCCGCCCCCCGGGGCAGGCTCGTTTGGGTCCGGGCCCGAGTATGTCTGAGACCCTAGGCTAAGGCCTAGGCCATCACTTTGAAGTCCGGCCCGGCCCATCGGCCCACTTAAGGCCCATTCAAGACTCGATCCGAGGCCCAGCCCGCCTGAGGCACAATGTGTTTTTTTGTGGAAGATAATAAAATTTTGGTAGAAAAAATTAAAAAGAATTAAAAAAAAAATGGCCAGGCCCGCCCAAGCCTAGCCTAAGCTCGAGCCTAGGCCTAGGCCCACCGGCCCCACCTGAGACTGTCGTCTTCGAGTAGCGGGCCAATTTTACATTCCTATCAATGTGAATGTTAATTTGTCAATGTGAATATTCACATTGTCACGGGCCGGTCCAAGCCCGCCCCGGGCAGCGGGCAGGCTTCGAGCCGTCTACGAGCTGCGGGCCAATTTTACACTCCTATCAATGTGAATGTTAATATGTCAATGTGAATATTCACATTGTCACGGGTCAAGCCGGACCGGGCTCGCCCCGGGCTGCCCATGGGACGCGAGTCAATTTTACACTCCTATCAATGTAAATGTTAACATGTCAATGTGAATATTCACATTGTCACGGGCCGGGCGGGCTTCCGACCACCCACGGGCCGAGGGTCAATTTTACACTCCTATCAATGTGAATGTTAATATATCAATGTGAATATTCACATTGTCACGGGCCGGGCCAAGCTCGCCCCGGGCCGCCCATGGGACGCGAGTCAATTTTACACTCTTATCAATGTGAATGTTAACATGTCAATGTGAATATTCACATAATCAACGGGTCGGGCCTTCCCCGGCAACGAGCGGGCTTCGGGCCGCCCACAGGCCGCGGGCCAATTTTACAGTCTTATCAATGTGAATGTTAATATGTCAATGTGAATATTCACATTGTCACAGGCCGGACCGGGCTCGGCCCGAGCCGCCCACAGGCCGCAGGCTAATTTTACACTTCAATCAATGTGAATATTCACATTGTACATAGGTCGGGCCCCTACACATTGACGATATGAACATTCACATTGACGGTGTGAACATTCACATTATGGGAATTTTGGTAATTATGTCACCCATAGGACTTATTGAAACATAAGAAAATAATATGAATTAAATAGAACATAAATAAATAAAAAAGGTATTTTGGTCTTCTTATCTCAAATAGGACCTAATGGAATAGTCAAAAAGAATATGAATTGGATGGAACATAAGTAATTAAAGATGGATTTATGAAAAAAGTTCCCTTTACTTTATTCTAAATATGCACTGTTTTTTATTTTTATTATACATAATTATATTAACATCTTTTTACACAAAATATACTCCGTAGAAAAACTAAAATTTTAAGAATATTAATCTATGTATAATAAAAATAAAAATAAAAATAAAAAATATGTTTATTTAGAGTAAAATGAAATAGGAATAAGGGCTCTCTTAATTAATAAGGTGAAAATAATTTATTCCTATTGTGTACTTTTTGTTTGATTTTAGATTAGTGAACTAGAGGATAAAATAGTAAAGAGAGAAATTACGTTAACAATGTTTGGTTCACTTGAAAAGCTAACGAAGGAGTTTCTTGTCATTTCAAAATTTTCTAAGACATCACTGTAATTTCATTAAACTTTAGAAAAGATTATTGTAATTATAATTTGCCAAAAGGAAAAATATATCCAATCAATTCTACTTCGCAAAAGTAAATACAACCCTCTTATATATGATAAGAACAATCTTATTCTATACTGAATAATTTTTTTCCAAGGCAAAATGTTGTGAAAACTTGAAAAGTTTGGTCAAGTTAATAGGTTTTATTGAAAAAAAAAAAAAAAAGAGTCGAGATGTTTTGAACATCCAAGAAGAGAAATGTAATTTTTCAAAGTATACTGTTAAAATTATCACACCAATCAATTGCAATTACAATAAAAATTAAGTACAATATATAATAAATATAAAGACATTCTAAAGATAAGAAAAATAAATTTAAAATAAATATATGAGAAATTAAACTCATACACAAATAAAAAATTTCAAACCACTTAATATAAGATACAAAAATTTTTAAACAACTATTATTTTTTTAAAAAAACAACAACAACAACAAAAACAAAACAAAAAACAAAAATAATAAATAAAAGAAAAATAAAAGAAGAAGAAGACCCAAGTCTTCCACTTGTTTATTCTGTAACTTCCAATGAGAGAACAAACCTTGCAACCCAAGTCTTTCCACCTGTTTGGGAACATGACTCCATCTGTCCCTGTTCCCAGTCGACGTTTGGTTCGGTTTTTTGTTAGTTCGGATTAGAGAGCTTGTTTGGTAAAATTCTTATGAGTCAGAAGTTGATAATTAATTGAATGCAATGGTGATGTACCTTCTCCTACTTTTTAATATTTAATTTTTTGAAAAAAAAAAACTATTTGAACTATTTTTATCTCATAACTTGCTTTAAATAATTTGGCATAATTTTTTAAAAATAAAAGGAGAAAAGCTAAAAATAAATAAATAAATAAATCAAGGGTTTGATCCCAATAACAAATCAAACTCTAGGTTCCGTTTAGTTTAGTTTTTGAAATGAATTTTAAGTTTTGAGTTATATTTTAAAAGATGATTGAAAAGAGTTTTGAAAGTTGAAAATTTATGTAGTTATGAGTTTTAAAAATAGTTTTTAAATGATTTTTAATTTTTTTAAATTTTTTTTTTTTTTAGTTGAATAGATATGTGTGAGAGAAAATTTGATTAATTAATATGTAGAATGTGAAAGAATGAGAGAGGTGAGAGGAGAGAAAAAAAATAATTGATTAATAATAAAAAAAGATAGTACTAGAGAGGAGACAAGAAATGGAGTTTTGAGTTGTAATTTAAAAATTAGTTAACCAAACAAACTATTTTTTAAAATCAAACCAAAATACTACCCTAATGTTTTAATTATTCTAATTTAAATCTTCAACTTCTAAAATGATATTAATTTCTAACCCATCCTTTATTTATCTAATGGAATAGAGACAATTTAATCACTTCTAAGAGAATTTGATTTGTTATCAGAGTAAACTGTAAAGCAAATTTATAAAATGCCCTAAACAAGGATAAAAAGTTTGAATGAAATTTGTTTGGTTATTTCTGTTTTTTTTTTTTAATTATTATTTTTTTCTTTTTCTTATATATATATATATTTATTTTTAAAAGATTTTTGTACAAATTTTTATACCTTTTAAGTATATTAAGATCAAGTAAATCTAAAAAGTCAAAAAAATTAATTAAACTATTTAAAAAATCACTAAAAATACAAAAACATAAATCAAAAATTAAGAAAATTATTTTTGAAAAATCCAAACCAAACAACTATGTTGTTGTTTGGCAATAGGCTTTTTTAGTTGGTTTTTGGGCTTTTTGGTTCTTTTTAGCTTGAGATTAAAAATTCGTTTGAGTTGACTTTTTATATTTTTATGAGAAAAAAAATAAAATAATTATAATTTGAATGTAACATTTTATCTTATTAATTTATAATTAAATTTGTTTTGGACTAATTTAGCAAAAAAAAAAAAAGAAAAACCAATTGCACCTATAAAAAATAGGAATAACTAAAATCCTCACTCGTATTAGATATCCCCACTGCGGAAATCTCTCCTATTAAAACCCTGCAAACAAACAGAGACTGTGCTATCTTCTTTTATTTATGCCATCAATACACACACGCACACGCAGAGTGCCTCAAAATTCCACAGAGGGAAGTTCACAAACACTGGGTGTGCAAAATGGCCCAACTTCAATCAATCTCCGATCTTAAAACCCTAGTCGATCCCTTTGACGATGACGACGATAATTCCTCAATTCAAGTCGTTGATGATTTATCAATCTCGAATATTAAAACCCTATTCAATCCCTTTGATGATCCCTTTGATGATGACGACGATAATTCTTCAATTCAAGTCGTTGATGATTTATCAATCTCCGATATTAAAACCCTAGTCAATCCCTTTGATGATTACGACGATAATTCCTCAATTCAAGTCCTTGATGATTTATCAATCATAGATTTCTACTTCTCAGCAGTCGTCTCCAACGAAAACGAAGATCAGATGTTCCCAATTTCCGATTCCAAGTACGCCGAAGAATTGCAATTCCAAGAAGCTCTCATGTCTTCCGTAATCGCTTCCAAATCATCTGTTCCGCCATTGATGATGATCGAAGAAAAAGCGAAAGCGGAAGAAGTCGGTGAATCGTCTCACTGTTTCTGCGAGATTTGCGTTGAGAAGAAAGAATCCCATGAAAAAAATTTATTGTAATTTATCGTTTTATTCATAAATTTTTTTTTTTCAATGTAGGAGGGATTTCATTTTCGAAGTTCGCCTAGGACGTCCTAAATCTTAGAGCCGGCCCTGAATCTTATCTTTTAATTTTATGCATTTCAATTCCGAAGTTAGAATCCACTCTTTGCCTATAAAAGGGTGTGCTGCGTCTCGTAAAAATAGAGTCAAAAAGCAAAATCTTTATAATTTTTCAAGTATACAATAAAAGTTTTCAATTTCTATATACAGTTTGTCTACTCTTTTTAATTTTCTGGAGGTCTAAGAGTAGTGATACAAGTAGAAGTAATATTCACCGAGAGTAATTGAGTATAATATTAATAAAAATCAAACCAACATTCCTATACCTTAGCGTACAAAATATTACAAAAGATTTGATTCACCTTGAAACTATGTTGATTATATTATGGTGTTTAGTTTACCACAAATTTAGCCCTTTCTGTTATCAACAAGAATGTAATCTTATCTTTTGAAATTAGTAGATAATGATATTGTTAATAGGTAATAGATACCTATTTCTGTTTCTAAAATGATTATATGTTATCTAAATTGAGTATAAAATATTATTACAAATTTTTTCCAATAAAAATAGATTAGTATGACTAAACCACTTTCTAGCCAATATGATGAAACCAAGTTCAACTAACAAGAAGCACAAGATTTATGTGGAATGTGATCTTGCTTGTGAGAGTAATGAAATTATAGGTGAGGCTAGCAAATGGAGTCTCAAACTACCCATTGCTTGTTAGCTGTAGAAGAGTATATCAAATTTGAAATTTCCAACAATGGGTATTTTATAATTCAGTTGCTATTGTTCATTCTCATAATCGAATTGCAATTAAGCTTGGCCCAATCTTTTACTAAAAAAAAATTATTGACCTCTCCGGAGAGATTTAACAAAATTACATGAATCTCCCTTGTAATTTCTAAAATAACAGGAGAGATTTAACAAAATTACATGAACCTCACATGAACCTCCCTTGGACAAAATGATACACGGAAAGCAAAACCCATCTCCGCCTCCATTGATTGACATGGGAGCCAGATTTTGTTAAGGTCAACAAATTATTTTACCTCATTTTCTATTTAATAAATCTATATGCTACTATTCAATAAAATATATATGTCTTTATTTTGATATAACAAACAAAATTAAATTATCTTTTACTCATGCGTAATCTCTCATAAATATTTTATCTTTTTAAAATTTTAATTATCAACAACCGAATTCCCACATTTCTCTCTTCTTTTTTTGTAGGATGTTTATTTTACTTTTATCTTTACTTTTCAAATTAGATTTGATATCTATCTTTTTACCTATGTATATATCTATACTATATATATAAGCAAATATGTGTTCTCTAAAATTTTTAAAGTCTTTATACTCAATTCTTAAGTAGAGTTAAGATTCTATTTCCTAAATGTTGTTCTCTCAAAGTTATGTTTTTAATTTTTCATCCTTATTTTTCTCCAATAAGAAAATTTTTTTTTCTCTTACTATTGTTTTTATTTTAAATTTTTAACTTTTAAAATCTTTTTATTATCGAAGACTCCTTATCTCTTTTTATTGATTTTTTATTTATCTTATTCTTCTCCAATATTTTCATTTTTCTTTATTTCTTATTTCTTCCTTTTTAATTTTTTTTTTTTTGGTATCCCCAATCCTATCATTATCTCCAACTTTATTTTTATTATATTTTTCATATGATCCTTTTTTTTAATTTATTTTAATCTCTAATCTAATAATTATCTTCAAATTCATTTCTATCTTATTTTTCAAATGCTTCACACTTTAGCTATATATTTTAACATGCCATCGAGTTTTTTTAGTGTTTGCATATTGGGTATAAAGTTTTGTTCAAACTCTATGTTTAAGATTCGAGTTACATTCAACCATCGACAACGTTATAATTGGTTAGGCAATTGTAGGATTTTAGGGTTTTGATGAATTTTATTCTCTTTGTATACCTATATGTATATGTAGTGGGGGCATTTTTTTTGTTGTTTTCTTTAAAGGGGCCTTTGAACATTTTTACATTATTTGTAGTAGTATTCATTTTTACCTGTTTATATTATTTGTAATGGTATCCACTTTTACATTATTTGTTTTTAAAGCTAGAATAACGTTCGATAGAAATATAGTTCATGCCGCTAAATGACCTACTTGGACTAAGATAATTTTATAATCAATGTTTCAAATGGCAAATTGATGGAAAAAATGAATGTGTGAACTTAGGTATTAGATAGTTATCATATTCAAAAATTTTGTTAGTTATAACTCCCTATTATATTTTAAATTTATAAGAATTTTATGTTTTATAATACAAAAATGAGTATAATAAATTATTTAACTTATACATTCCCGATTTTCGTGCATAGCACGGGTTACCGCTAGTTATCTGTACTATATATATAACCAAATGTAGTTGTTTTGTCAAAAGTCTTCAAATATGTATTCCTAAATTCTCATAATTTTAAAACATTCTCTTTCCTACGTGGCAATCTTCTTTGATTGCCTTTCATGTTTTATATTTTTCTTCATTTTTTATTTGTTTGATTAATTAAAATTAAAATTAATTTCATTACTTATGCATAAAGATTTGAATTTCAAAATTCCTCCATATGGATAAACATATAAAAATTGAAAATTAATTTTATAATCTACAGATAAAGATAAAAAATAAACAATTAATTTAAAAAAATTAATTTCATAACTTATAGATAATTTAAAATTTCTTCCCATAAATAAACAAATAAAAGTTGATAAATAACTTATAAAAATTAATTTCATCGCCTACAAATAAAGATAAAGATTAAATAATTGATTTTTTTAATAAAAAAAAATTACTCTCTTTTTTTTCCCCTCTCATTTCGTACTTTAATTAATTTCATTATAGATAAACATATAAAAATTCATAAATAATTTATGAAAATTTATTTCATGACCTATAGATAAAGATAAAAAAATTTTAAATTATTTAAAAAAAATAATTTCATGACTTATAGATAAATAAACATATAAAAATTGATAAATAATTTATAAAAATTAATTTCGTCGCCTACAGATAAAGATAAAGATTAAATAATTGATTTTCAAAATATCAAAATAATAAAATTTAGATAAAGATATGATTTGTTAATCTATATATCTATCAAAAACATATATATCTAAATCTTTATTTTGATTTACTCATTTTTTTCTCCTATCACATATTATCTTTTTTTATTTTAAATTTTTTATCTTATGAAATGCTCTTATCTACAACTTTTTATCTCCTATTAAATTATTAACCTTCTCTTAATAATTTTTATTATTTGTTATTATCTACCAAATGATAAAGATTATAAAAAAAATAGTAAAAAATTATCGCTTTGAATGAGAATAGTATTAATAATGAAATAATAAAGGCTACATGGGAAAAGGTAGCACAAAAATCTCACAAAATTAATTTTCTTCACTATATTTATAAAAGGTAATAATTTGAGATTCTTTCTATTAGTTATTAAAAATAATTTGCATTAGATCATTGTTATTTTATTTTTTATTTTTTTTAAGGCTGTCATTCGTTATAGTATTTCTTCAATCTCATCTCTAAATTCTCTCTTTGAAATTTTTGTTTTTTCAATAATTAAGTTTAGAATCAATTTCTTATCAAATTTGTTTTCTTGATCCTTATTTTATTGAAGGATTGAGACGAATAAAACTTTCATATAATATATAAAATTAATGAATATAATACAAAGATGATAGGGAAGTATTACATATTTGTCAATATCTCTATCTTATTATTAGTTGATTTGCTAGATTATACTATCAATTTAGAGCCCATATGATTTAATTCAATGTTAATGACTCTATTTGTATTTGACCATTTTTTCGTTGAGTAACTGATATAATTTTTATTTTTTTTTTGGTATATAATGATTAAAGCTATCATTTGTTATATTTTTTCAAGTACAATTCAAATAATTTTTTATCATTTTTTTATAAATAAAATGGATTAAAACTATTCTCTTATATAATTTTTATAATACTATGACATTCTTATCTTGATTAATTTTTTTAAAATGACGTAGGAACTATGCAAGTATTATTCAAACTATGGAGAATGATTTATACTTTGATATGATATGAGTGTGTCATTGATAGAGGAAATCAAAGATAGAGAGTTGCTAATATAATCAATTAATGATTTGTTTGAGAAGTTCTTTTTATAAGTAAGGCAACAAACTTAGGCCTCGTTTGGCAACCGAACTAAGCCAAAAAGTTATTAAATTAGCTAAAAAGCTAACAACCCATACCAAAAAGTCAAAGATTCTCTTTTCTCTCTACTTTTTGCACATCTTTTCGTAAAAAGTCAAAGATTCTCTTTTCTCTCTACTTTTTGCACATCTTTTCGTAAAAAGTCAAAAAGTCATCCCAAACATACTAGTTTTTTTTAGCTCATATTTTAGCCAAATAGCCAAAAAGTTACTAAATTAGCATGTTCCCAAACAAGGCCTTAGATTAAAATTTTTTAAAAACTACTTATAAATTATAATTAAAAGTTGATATTTATTCATAATTTGATCCCACAATAATAATATACACCACTAATTTAAAAGTCAAAGTAAATTTATGATAACTTTTCTGAGCTTATAGAATTTCTCTCTTTTAATGTTTTGTTTAGTTTGATACAAATTATTTATGTTATCAAGTGATTGTGATACTATTATTCTCAACAATTTTTATAATTAATAATTTCTTATGCATATCAAATTTTATTGTAAAATTTTATGGGTTAATTATTGTTAACATCTACCTAGATGGCTTAATATTATGGCTTGTTGCTATTAAGATATAATTTAAAATTAAGATGATTTATTTATTACACAGAATATATATAGTCTATTTTTTCGTTCATCGCACGGGTTACCGCTAGTATAAAAGACATGATTGTTTGAGACCATATCCATTATTTTTTGGATAAATTATACTTACATTTTTTAAGTTTGAATTTAATACATATCACTTTTTAATATTTGAAAAATTACACTGATCCCTATCATTGTAATTATTCAGACAAAATTAACGTTGGTATCAAAAAAACATTGAATTCATACATTCTCTCCTTTCTTACTTTGCTTTATTTCTTTTTTTTTTCTTTCTTTCTTTTGATTTACTTTTTTTTTAAATGTAATTTCTTCTTTTTTTCTACTAGAAATTATTGTCTTTTATATAAGTAGGAGAGTTTATGAAAGAGCAATACTAGGTATCATGAAAAAAATTTCATGAAAATGATCATGAAAGATTTATGACCCTTGGATTACAGTTAAAATAAAGCACCATACATTAATCAAGATAATCCAATGGTCATAATTCTTTCATAATCATTTTCATAAAAGTTTTTCCATGATCCCTACCTTTTCTCTTTATGAAATGAGACTATTAACCGTATGAATGAAAATGTAATTTCTATAACATTAAAGGATGAGATATAATTGGACCACACCTCAAGGAGTGTCAGTATAATTTACTCTTAGTCTTTTCATTAATATATATATATATATATATACAAATATATAAACACATATATAAAAAGGACTTTTCTTAAGTGTGCAACTTACACCTTACACTTACGCCTTTCTGTTTGCTGTCCTGTTTTATATTTACACCTTCCACTTACACCTTTTGTGTTGGTTGCATATGGTGTGCAACCTTAAGGGGTTGCACACCATAACAGCACCCATGGAATTATGATACCTTTTGTGTTGGTTGCATATGGTGTGCAACCTTAAGGGGTTGCACACCATAACAGCACCCATGGAGTTATGATGGCTATCATCTCATCTATTAACACTTTAGTTTAATATGTCCTACACACACATATATTTTTAATACAGTGGTGACACATTGCGTGGTAAATAAAAAGTAATAAGAAATGTCATAAATGTAACATTATTGTTATACATATTTCCACTACAAAAGTGTTTTATAATTTAATTAAAAAAAAGGTGTTTATAATTTAACTAGTTAAGAGAGCCACCATTCTCGTTTTACTTTACTCCAAATATATTTTATTCTTTATTTTTATTATACATAATTATATTAATATCTTTTTACACAAAATACACTCCTAGAAAAACTAAAATTTTAAGAATATTAATCTAACTATGTATAATAAAAATAAAAATAAAAATAAAAAATAAGTGTATTTAGAATAAAATAAAATAAAATAAAATAGGAATAAGGGCTCTCTTAATTAATAAGGTGATAATAATTTATTCCAATTGTGTACTTTTTGTTTGATTTTAGATTAGTGAACTAGAGGATAAAATAGTAAAGAGAGAAATTACGTTAACAATGTTTCGTTCACTTGAAAAGCTAACAAAGGAGTTTCTTGTCATTTCAAAAATTTCTAAGACGTCGTTGTCATTTAGTTAAACTCTAGAAAAGATTATTGTAATTGTAATTTACCAAAAGGAAAAATATATCCAATCAATTCTACTTTGCAAAAGTAAATACAACCCTCTTATATATGATAAAAACAATCTTATTCTATATTGAATAATTTTTTTCCAAGGTAAAATGTTGTGAAAACTAGAAAAGTTTGGTCAAGTTAATAGGTTTTATTAAAAAAAAAAACAAAAAAAGTCGAGATGTTTTGAACATCCAAGAAGAGAAATGTAATTTTTCAAAGTATACTGCTAAAATTATCACACCAATCAATTGCAATTACAATAAAAATTAAGTACAATATATAATAAATATAAAGACATTTTAAAGATAAGAAAAAGAAATTTAAAATAAATATATGAGAAATTAAACTCAGACACAAATAAAAAATTTCAAACCACTAATATAAGATACAAAAATTTTGAACAATTAATAAACTTAAAAAAAAATAAAAGAAAAATAGTAGAAGAAGAAGAAGACCCGTACCAAAGTGAAGTCAAAAAGGTCGAAAACCTCAATTATTATGTAACTTCCAATGAGAGAAGAAACCTTCCAATCCAAGTCTTTCCACTTGTTTGGGAACATGACTCCATCTGTCCCTGTTCCCAGTCGACGTTTGGTTCGGTTTTTTGTTAGTTCGGATTAGAGAGCTTGTTTGGTAAAATTCTTATGAGTCAGAAGTTGATAATTAATTGAATGCAATGGTGATGTACCTTCTCCTACTTTTTAATATTTAATTTTTTAAAAAAAAAAATTTATTTGAGCTATTTTTTTTATCTCATAACGTGCTTTAAATAATTTGGCATAATTTTTTAAAAATAAAAGGAGAAAAGTTAAAAATAAATAAATAAATAAATCAAGGATTTGATCCCAATAACAAATCAAACTCTAGGTTCCGTTTGGCTTAGTTTTTGAAATGAATTTTAAGTTTTGAGTTATATTTTAAAAGATAATTGAAAAGAGTTTTGAAGGTTAAAAATTTATGTAGTTATGAGTTTTGAAAATAGTTTTTAAATGATTTGTAATTTTTTTAAAATTTTTTTTTTTAGTTGAATAGATAGGTGTGAGAGAAAATTTGATTAATTAATGTATAGAATGTGAAAGAGTGAGAGAGGAGAGAGGAGAGAGGAGAGAGGAGAGAAAAAAAATGATTGATTAATAATAGAAAAGATAGTACTAGAGAGGAGAGTGGAAATTGAGTTTTGAATTGTATTTTAAAAATTAGTTAACCAAACAAACTTTTTTTTAAAAATCAAACCAAAATACTACCCTAATGTTTTAATTATTCTAATTTAAATCTTCAACTTCTAAAATGATATTAATTTCTAACCTATCCTTTATTTATCTAATGGAATAGAGACAATTTAATCACTTTTTATTGATAGTATTGGATGGCGATGGTGGCTATGATATAGGGAAAGGATGAGAGAGGAGGTAGTGAGTTGAAAAAAAGAGGAGTAACGATTGACGGAAAAAATGGATAGAGCAGTAGTGGTGGATTGGGGAATAAGAGGAGAAGTGACGACGATGATAAAGCAATCAACAGTTATGATGAGGGAAAAGAAAGTAAATTAAATTATCTAAATTACTCATACGAACAGTTAGAATTGATATTATTTTAAAAATTAAGAATTTGAATAGAAACAATTAAAAAAAGAGAATTTGATTTGTTATCGGAATAAATTGTAAAGTAAATTTATAAAATGCCCTAAACAAGGATAAAAAGTTTGAATGAAATTTGTTTGGTTATCTCTGTTTTTTTTTTTAATTATTTTTTTCGTTTTTCTTATATATATATATATATTTTTTTATTTATTTATTTTTAAAAGATTTTTCTACAAATTTTTATACCTTTTAAGTATATTAAGATCAAGTAAATCTAAAAAGTCAAAAAAATTAATTAAAATATTTTAAAAATCACTAAAAATACAAAAATATAAATTAAAAATTAAGAAAATTATTTTTGAAAAATTCAAACCAAACAACTATGTTGTTGTTTGACAATAGGTTTTTTTTGACTTTTTGATTCTTTTTAGTTTGAAAAATTCGTTTGGGTTGACTTTTTTATATTTTTGTGAGAAAAAAAGTAAAATAATTATAATTTAAATGTAACATTTTATCTTATTAATTGTTAATTAAATTTGTTTTGGACTGATTTAGCACCACAAAAAAAAAAACCAATTACGCCTATAAAAAATAGGAATAACTAAAATCCTCACTCGCATTAGATATCCCCACTGCGGAAATCTCTCCTATCAAAACCCTGCAAACAAACAGGGACTGTGCCATATTCTTTTATTTATGCCATCAATACACACACACACACACACACAAAGTGCCTCAAAATTCCACAGAGGAAAATGGCCCAACCTCAATCAATCTCCGATCTGAAAACCCTAGTCAATCCCTTAATCTCCGATCTCAAAACCCTAGATAATCCCTCAATCTCCGACGACGATAACAACAACAAACTCGTAGTTTTTGTTGATGATCATGACGATAATTCCTCAGTTCCAGTCGTAGATGATTTCTACTTCTCAGCACTCTCCAACGAAAACGAAGATCAGATGTTCCCAATTTCCGATTCCAAGTACGCCGAAGAATTGCAATTGCAAGAAGCTCTCATGTCTTCCGTAATCGCTTCCAAATCATCTGTTCCGCCATTGATGAAGATCGATGAAAAAGCGAAAGCGGAAGAAGTCGGTGAATCGTCTCACGGTTTCTGTGAGATTTGCGTTGAGAAGAAAGAAGCCGATGAGATGTTCCGAATCGATACCTGTTCTCACTCCTTCTGTTCCGATTGCATAAGCAAGCATGTTACGATGAAGATTCAAGACCACATCACTGTCGTTTCGTGCCCTACTTGGGATTGCAGTGGTGTTCTTCAGCTCGATGATTGTAGGCCGAGGATGTCGAGGGATGTGATCGAGAGATGGGATGAGGTTTTGTGTGAATCGATGATTCCTGCTTCGGAGAAATTTTATTGCCCTTTCAAGGACTGTTCGTTCATGTTGGTGAATGATAACGGAGAAGAGGTGATTAGGGAGTGTGAGTGTCCTAAGTGTCATAGATTGTTTTGTGCTCAGTGTTATGTGCCTTGGCATAGTGGGGTTGAGTGTGAAGAGTTTCAGAGATTGAATGAGGATGAAAGAGGGAGAGAAGATTTAATGGTGAGAGAGCTTGCTAAGAGTAGCAGCTGGATGAGATGTCCTCACTGCAAATTTTATGTTGAAAAAACAGAGGGTTGTTTGCACATGACCTGCAGGTATTGATTTGGTTTTTTCTGTTTTTTATTTTTAGAAAACACATACAATAAAAATTGTTTGGTCAGTTGATTTCTGAAAATAACCCACTTTTTAAACTTCACTAAATAGTTTATTAAATTTTCAAGAACTCATTTTTGTAGAAGAACGGAAATGAAATGGAGTAACTATTCTACACCAATTTCTGTTGGGTCCCTAGCATATTTGAATGAAATGAAAATGTTTGGTTTTTTGATTTTGTTATTATTAAAGCATAAGAAACAAAAAAACTGTACCAAACATGTTGTTTAATCAAGTTGGTGATATACTATTGTAGGGTGTTGTTTTCACATGATGTGTAGTTTAGCCAATTTCCATCTATAATTATGTGTACTGTGCAATGGGTGACCGTCTTTGTCTCTCATTAATTCAACCGTAAAATCTTTGTTATCGCAATATTAAATTTTTAATATCACCACCACACTTGATATTTACTTTTGTTTGGGGAAGTAATGCTATAGACAGTTTGATTGTTCAAGTTTTGGAGTAGGTGTTCAAGTGTGCTTTTCATCTGTTGTTGCATGGTTGTGATTGCAGGTGTGGATTTCAATTCTGCTATGCATGTGGAGAAACTTGGAGTCAAACTCATGGTGGTTGTAGACCATGATTGGTAGATTGACAGTGACTTTTTTACTTTGATGTTAATAGTGATCAATGTTTTCTATTTGAGATCTAAGAAGATCTAAGAACCCTTTTGATTTGCTCTGATGCTAAATGTTATCTACTTGAGGTCCAATATGCTTTCTTTGTCTCTGTTTTACTATTTATGTAGATAAAGGAATGAACACAAATGTGGAATTAACAAACATGAACATAAATGAAGTCACAGATGTGTGTTTGAAATCTTCTTTTGCATGTAGCACAACTGATATAGTTAAGCAAGGTTTATGCAATTGTGTATTTTGTTGTATTGGTCATGAAATAATATAGTATGTGCAGATCAATGTCAATGATCTTTGATCTAGGATATTTACTTGGTTTGAGGGCATTGAGTTTGTCACCTAACTAATTTATAGTATAATATTTAAATCTCTTTTCTTCTCTAATTGGTTTTGAACTTCTCAAGGATCGAATTCTGGATCTCTTACATGTAGGGCTGAAACCAAAACTAAATTATCCAAATGCCATCCGATTATACTGCAAATTCACAAAAATAAAAATAAAAATAAATAAATAAATAAAACTCCATTTTGAAACTCGAAGATGTGTTTTATATGTGTCTTTGTTTTTTTAATTGTTCATAATTTTTGTTCACAAATTCAAGATTCAGATAGGTTTTTCACACATTATTATATACCTTAACTAGTGATAACCTGCAAGGGTAAATTACAAAAGGTGATAAATAATAATAAATATGCTAAAAATTAATAATAAAATTCTATGATATTAATTTACGTAGGTACTTAAAAAATAGATTTGATTGATCTCAACCGAAAAAGAAAGGTCAGAGTGAAATTTTATAAATATATGATAAAAGTAAAAATAAATTAAGTTTGAATTTGAAGATAAACTATAAAAATTCAAAAATTAGATAAGACAAACTTGATAAAAAAACATCTAATATAGAAGAACTGAAGATAATAGTAGTTTAAAAATTAGAAAAGAGTAAAATGCTACCTATAATAAAAAAAACTTCTCAAGGATGGAATTCTGGATCTCTTACATGTCAAGAAGTTCACACAATCGGTTTATAACTTCTAAAATGGACTGTTGAGAAGTTGGATTGTCAGGGGAAACTTCTGTTTTGATTTCATTGTCTGCAAGGTTGTTTTGTTTTTTTCCTTGGTACTGTAGGGCTGAAACCAAAACTAAATTATCCAACAACAATGATTCATCCCACTAAAAACATCACCACTAATAGCACTAATGTATTAAAAAAAAAAAAAAAAAAAAAAATTACAACTCCAAGATCAAAACATCACATCATTCATAACGGGATCCACTGTCACCTAATTAGTGGGAGCATTAATTAGTGCTCCCAAGTATTTTTCACATTATCCAAATGCCATCCGATTATACTGCAAATTCACAAAAATAAAAATAAAAATAAATAAAACTCCATTTTGAAACTCGAAGATTTGTTTTATATGTATCTTTGGTTTTTTAATTGTTCATAATTTTTGTTCACAAATTCAAGATTCAGATAGGTTTTTCACACATTATTATATACCTTAACTAGTGATAATCCGTTTGCACGGGTTATCAACAAAAAGTGATAAATAATACTAAATATGTTAAAAATTAATAATAAAATTTTATGATATTAATTTACATAGGTACTTAAAAAATAGATTTGATTGAACTCAATCGAAAGGTCAGAGTGAAACTTTATAAATATATGATAAAAGTAAAAATAAATTAAGTTTGAATTTGAAGATAAACTATAAGCATATAGAAAGTGAAAATCAAATAAATCCTAAAAAAGGAATAAACTTAATTGAAAAATTAAGAGTAAGAGTAGATCATTTACATATAAGGTAAAGATTAAAAAAAATTAAAATTAAAATTTAAGTGTAAATGTGAAGACAAATTATAAGAATATAGAAAGAGAAATTTAGATTAATCCTAGAAAAATGAGGTAGACGGAAATTTAGTAAATATCAAATCAAGATTGAAAAAAAAAAAAAATCAAAGTTGAAATTTAAAAATTCAAAAATTAGATAAGATAAACTTGATAAAAAAACATCTAATATGGAAGAACTGGAGATAATAGTAGTTTAAAAATTAGATAAGAGTAAAATGCTACCTATAATAAAAAATAGAACCTTAGTAAGTTAAAAATTATATAAGAGTTAAATGCCATCTATAATTTTTTAATAAATATTTATGTGCTTAGAAGTTGATTGGCTTAGAATTTTGAAAAAAGAAGTTGATTTTTTATTTTTTAAAATTTAAATTTTGTGTAGTTAAAAAATAAATTTTTTAAAGTTGATTGGCTTAGAAGCTCTATGGTTTGGAGCTGGAGTAGAAGTATGTCAATTGTTTTTGATTTGCTGTATTGGTGTTCTCTTTTGGATTTTGGCTGATCTTGATTGGCTTCTTGCCAATCTTGGGTAAAATCCATGCATATGATTGTGCTTTCTTCGCGATGTCAACCTAGAAATATGTTATCTTATTATACAAATTTTAACTCTATTTTTAACAGTTTTTGTATTCTAAAGCTATTTAATTACAAACAAAATTCAAGGATCACTTTTTATTTTTTTAAATTTGTTTTGTGTCTATAACCTATAAATTTCAACAACTTTCGTATTTTGAAGCTACTAAATAAAAATAAAAAAATTAACATCACATCATTTTTTGTTTTTTGTTTTTTTTTTAACTTCGTAGTTAGTTTTATTTTTACTTTATGTTGTATGATAATATAATCATTCATTTTAAACACAATAAAGTCTTAACCATGGAACGCGCATGACATGAATATTTCTATAGCTGTGACACGTGAATATAAAATTCAGCAATCATAGAAAAAAAAATTCTTACCTATGATTTTTGTCTAAATATATAAAACATATTTATTCAAATTAAATTTTAAAATTTTCATCATTAATATGTAATGTGTTTATAATTTCAATACAAACAGAGTTGAATAATAAATTTTTTTTTTTTTATATATAAGAAATTAACCAAACTGTTATTAAAATATTCACATATTGTTCAAAGGCCCCTTTAAAGAAAACAACAAAAAAAATGCCCCCACTACATATACATATAGGTATACAAAGAGAATAAAATTTATCAAAACCCTAAAATCCTACAATTGCCTAACCAATTATAACGTTGTTGATGGTTGAATGTAACTCGAATCTTAAATGTAGAGTTTGAACAAAACTTTATACCCAATATGCAAACACTAAAAAAACTCGATGGCATGTTAAAATATATAGCTAAAGTGTGAAGTATTTGAAAAATAAGATGGAAATGAATTTGAAGATAATTATTAGATTAGAGATTAAAATAAATTAAAAAAAAGGATCATACGAAAAATATAATAAAAATAAAGTTGGAGATAATGATAGGATTGGAAAAAAAAAAAAAAAGAAATTTAAAAAGGAAGAAATAAGAAATAAAGAAAAATGAAAATATTGGAGAAGAATAAGATAAATAAAAAATCAATAAAAAGATATAAGGAGTCTTCGATAATAAAAAGATTTTAAAAGTTAAAAATTTTAAATAAAAACAATAGTAAGAGAAAAAAAATATTTCTTATTGGAGAAAAATAAAGATGAAAAATTAAAAACATAACTTTGAGAGAGCAACATGTAGGAAATAGAATCTTAACTCTGCTTGAGAATTGAATATAGAGATTTTAAAAATTTTAGAGAACACACTATATTTGCTTATATATATAGTATGGATATATACATAGGTAAAAAGATAGATATCAAATCTAATTTGAAAAGTAAAAATAAAAGTAAAATAAACATCCTACAAAAAAGAAGAAGAGAGAAATGTGGGAATTCGGTTGTTGATAATCAAAATTTTAAAAAGATAAAATATTTATGAGAGATTACGTATGAGTAAAAGATAATTTAATTTTGTTTGTTATATCAAAATAAAGGCATATATATTTTCTTGAATAGTAGCAAAATAAATTTACTTTTTTAATAAAGTTGTAATAGAATAAAATATATTTAATTTTTAAATTGCATGCTTGATGATAATTTTTTTTTAAAAAATACATTGATAGAAAATTTTAAAATTGATGGTAGTAAATTGTTATCATTATAGCCTACAAAAAGAACTTTGGATAAAATCATGGATAGACAATAAAAAATTAACACTTAGCATTAAATTTTGCAAAAATTAAAAAAAAAATCAAAATTCAAAATAAAGTATTGGAATTCCTCTAATCATATAATTAGACATTTTAGTTAAAAAAATGAAAAATTCAAAACAAAGTATTGGAATTCCTCTAATCATATAATTAGACATTTAGTTAATTTTAAAATTTAAATGTTAAATCCAGTAAGATTATGTCATGTGGGTTAATTCAAAATTTAGATAATATACTAATAGATTTGAATCATTTTTTTTAATATTATTAAAAAAAATTCAAAAATTTAAATTAGGTATGTTTAGATAAAATTTAAACATTTTAAAATTTTAAAATTAAATATTGTTAGATGTACCTATCACTTTAAGCCAAATATATTTTTTATTTTTAAAAATTTTAAAATTGAGAAATTGTGTTTAAGGTTTTGAAGCTGTTTTTTGTGTGTATTTAACTGATCAAACTTGCAAAATATAACAATCGAAAAGATGAGTTATTTTGAGAAAAGATAGGTAGATGAGAAAATGATTGAATGTAATAATAGAGAAGATGAAAAGATATGTAGATAAACTGAAAAATATTGACAATATATATATATATATACATACAAAAGTAATAAACACTAAAAAAATGCATATAAAATAAGAAATAATATTATGAGCATAAAAATGGAGAATATGAAAAGATGTGTAGATGAATTGAAAAATATTAAGAAAGAGAAATATATACACACAAAGTAACAAATACTAAAAAAATACATATAAGATAAGAAATAATATTACACTGACCTTGTAATGATTTTTTTCAGATCATCAAACTTGCAAAATGTAACAATGGCGAAGATGAGTTATTCTGAGAAATAAAAGATGGATAGATGAGAAAATGATTGAATTTGATTGGAATAAATTGAATAGAGGTGTGTGTGTGAAAGTTATAGGAGTTCCGGATTTTTTTATTATTATTTTATTAAATTGAGATTGAGAGTGAGATAGATATTATTGTAGGTGATAGATATGGATGAATATTTTATTATTTGGGGATAAATATTATTGTTGGTGATGGATATGGATGAAT